AGTCAGAAAAATGGTTTAGCACAGTTTTAACATTCTGTTTTCCCTTAACTTCATTCTAAAACAAGGATGAATTGTTTTTTTGAAAGCAAATAAATAAATCTGTGAAAGAGAACATGCAAATGAAAATGTTTAACCTGAATGATTAGGGGTTGGTAAAGCTGAAGTTCTAAGCAATCAAAAACAAGTTAAAAAGAGAAGTGCTATCTATTTTAATGACACCAGTTGCCATCAGCATCCCATTATTAACAACCATTGAAACTGTTTCTTTATTTTGAAAGAAATAATACTAATTGTAAAATGTATGACCCTTCACTTTTAATAATTAGAAACTAATAAAAATCTGTCAAGTTTGATACAATCAGATTATATCAACCGAATCTTGACCAGGTCACAAAATCGTTGGACGCAGGTGTCGCGGTGGACGTAGTCTTTCTGGACTTTAGGAAGGTCTTTGACACTGTCTCTCACCCCACTCTTGTTAAAAAATTAGGAGATTGTGGTGTCGATGCCTATAGTCAGAATGGTTGCCAACTGGCTGGAGGGCCGCACCCAGAGAGTGGTGGTGGATGGATCATTTTCGACCTGGAGGGATGTTGGCAGTGGGGTCCCCCAGGTCTCGGTCCTTGGGCCCGCACTGTTCAACATCTTCATCAGCGACTTGGACGAGGGGGTGAAAAGCACACTGTTCAAATTCGCAGATGAAACGAAGATGTGTGGAGAAGTGGGCACGCTAGAAGGGAGGGACAGGCTGCAATTGGATCTGGACAGGTTACAGGGGTGGGCGGATGAGAATAAGATGCGATTCAATACTGATAAGTGCAGGGTACTGCACATAGGGAGAAAGAACCAGCACCATACCTACAGGCTGGGGAACTCCCTTCTCGTCAATACAGAGGCAGAAAAGGATCTTGGAGTCATTATAGACTCCAAGATGAACATGGGCTGCTAATGTGGGGATGCAGTCAGGAAGGCCAAGCGTACCTTGTCACGCATCCACAGATGCATCACGAGCAGGTCCAAGGAGGTGATCCTCCCCCTCTATATGACATTGGTCAGGCCGCAGCTGGAGTACTGCGTCCAGTTCTGGGTGCTGCACTTCAGGAGGGATGTGGACAACATGGAGAGGGTCCAGAGGAGGACCACTCACATAATCAGAGGGCAGCAAGGCAGGCCCTACGAGTAGAGACTATGAGACCTGAACCTGTTCAGCCTGAAGAGAAGGATGAGGGGGGTCTGGTGGCTGTCTATAAACTAGCCAAGGGAGACCAGCAGCCAATGGGAGAGTCCCTGTTCTCCCGAGCACTACTGGGAGTAACACGGAATAACGGCCATAAGTTGACAGAGAGTAGATTCAGACTAGATATCAGGAAGCGCTATGTCAGTCAGGGAGGCTAGGATCTGGAACCAAGTTCCAAGGGAAGTGGTGCTTGCTCCTACCCTGGGGGTCTTCAAAAGGAGGCTAGATAGACACCTTGCCGGGGTCGTTTGACCCCAGTACTCTTTCCTGCCATGGCAGGGGGTCGGACTTGATGATCTGCTTAGGTCCCTTCTGACCCGACCAACTATGAAACTATCTTGTAGGTTCCTTTTATAAAAGCAAGCAATGAAGCAAACACTATTATTTCTCATAAGGTAGCCCCTACATTAAAATCTTGTGGGGACTTGTTCCCCATCACTTACAGTAGGGATGTCAAACTCACCCTGCCCTGCAGACCAGATGACTGGTATAGGACTGGCCCACAGGACGTATTTGTCCCAGGTACCCCATACCTCTTCCCCTGTATACCTGATCTGGTGATTGCTCTAGCCTGTCTGGGACCCATACTGCATGCTGCAGAGATTTTGGAGTGACTGGAATGGGCACTGCATTCAGTGCAGTCTGGCTGAAATGACACACTGTGGCCACCCCAGCCAGACTGCACCACATGCAGTACCCACTTCAGCTGGTCAGGGACCTGTCCTGCATGTACACACCAGGATCCACGCTGCACACAGTATAGGTCCCAGACTAGCTGAAGCAACTTCCAGATCAAGTATGTTGGGGTAAGGGAAGAGGGTCCCACACTATGTCCTGTATTGGTCTGATCAGACCCAGGGGACATCACCAGGGACTGGATGGCCAGAATATGCTGCAGACCAGATCCAGCCCCCAGACTATGTCCAACACCCCTGCTTCAGTACATCAGTTATTACCAGATGATCTGAGTCATTTCTCCACTCTTTCTGTGTTGTTGGAAAGCTGAGAGTAGGCTGCTTCCTGTCCCTAAAGCAGGGGTGAGCAAACTGCGGCCTGCAGGCCGGATGCGGCACACCAGGCCATTCTATCCTGCCCATGGAGCCCCTAATATTTTAAAAAGTTAGTATTTTTCTGCCCCTGGCTGCCTGTCATGTGGACCTCAATGCCTTGCCAAAACTCAGTAAGTGGCCCTCTGCCCAAAACCATTGCCCACCCTGCCCTAAAGGAATCCCAAGAACTACCTCAGTTCCTCAGAGACCTCAGCTGGCAGCTCCTCCTTGAAGCAGTCAACAGGGGCATATATCTGGCGTGCTTTATGGATGCTCCTCACACTTTTGCCAAAAGAGGCAGACACTGGCGCACGCCTACCTCCAGTAACCCAGGTTGCAGTCCCTTTACTGCTTCCACCAAAACCTCCTGCTATGGCTGCTCTTCTTCCCACGTGTTCTCCATTATATCCTCCCCATCCATAGCCCCACCAAGCTCTGGATAAGCTGGCCATCTAGCAGACCATGAAGGAGGCTCTGACCATGGGGAAGCCGGATGAGTGTGAGGCTTTCCTCTCACTCCTTCGCACACATCTCCAGGAGGAGTTTTGCTAGCAGGTGTGTACAGGCTCCTTTGTCTCTTTCAGGGGGCAGTGGGTGCTGGACAGTGCGCTCTGCTCTGGGCCCCTTTCTGGATCCCTGGTTCTGAAACTGCAACCTTGCTCCCAACCGGTCATCTTTGTTTTATTTGTCCCTAGTTATCTTCTCTGTGGCCTTTCAGGGGTGCACAATCCCATGGAAGTAGCAAACAGGCCTGTCCCTAAAGGATGGAGCTATGGCAGCGGTGGTTCATCTCGCATCCCTCTGAACCCAAAGCCCGCAGACACGGCTCCCCATCCATGCCAAGCAAGACACGGCAGCCAGGATCCCTGGGGGCTCCTAGGGTCACAAGGAGCTCAATAGAGGATCCGATCCACCTTTCCGGCGAGCTGCCGCTCCCACTCTCTTCCCCACTTGATCTGCTGCTCCCCACGCCCGCCGAGCCCGCCGTCTCCTCTGTCACCGGCGCTGCTCCCGCCCCCAGCATTTGGCCGCCGCCCCCACTGCGCATGCGCGGCTGCCCCGCCCTGCCCCAGGCCCCGCCCCTGGTTCCCGTTGCGAAGGCAGCGGCGTCGCCGGTTGCCGGGATGACGATGGAGGCCGCGGCCGGGGCAGGGCCCTGCGCCCGTAGGGCGCCCTCCGGGCCGGCAGCGCAGACGGGGAAGGCGGCAACAGCTCGCGGGTGATGAAGCCCAGCGGGAGCCTCGCCGCGGAGGCCCGCTGCGGCCCCTCCGCCGCCCACA